GAGCTAGGCCAGTATTATCAACATAAATTTGGCTATTAATGTTTGGAAATTATAAACGACCGTGAAATGAGGACATAAATATGATAGAAAACGCCAATAAATGGTCAAAGAATTTATCGGATTTAAATAATACGATATATAATTTGAATCAAAATATTTAAGGGGATCCCTCCCATTTTACCACATAAGTACGTATAATTTTTGTATAAGAAATACTGTTTTTTTTACTGGTTCGATAATCTTTTTTCGGAATTAAAATATACGCATTAATACGTGTGTGAATAGTGGAGTCTATGCCAAGAACGATCAAAAATCTTAAAATTGATATATTTTTTATTACTTTTTAGTGCAACGTGACGTCTTAGTCGTATCAAGTCGTGACAGCATTTGCTTGATATGAAAGCTTTGCAAAATCTATACGTACGAAATAGTAATTTTTAGAACTTTTAACGAATTCGATTGGATGCAGTCCGTACGCACTGGTGCATGTTAAAGTCGTACAAAAATTAACGTAAAGATATGTTTATACATAGAGACATAGAATTTCGATTCATTCATAGACATAGAACTTGGATTAGCGTTTTGAAATTATAAGCGACCGTGTAAATGAGGACAAAATGTGATTGAAAACGCCAATAAACGGTCAAAGATTTTAAAGGTTTCAAATAATACGATATATATTTTTTGTAATTGTTAAGAGGATTTTAAAGCCTTCTGTTTCATTACTTAAGTAAGTATAATTTTTGTATAACAAATACTTTTATTTTTTATTCGGTAATCTTTTTTCGAGATTAAAGTATAAGCATTAATACGTGTCTGGTAAAGTGGAGTCTATGCCGAGAACGATCAGAAAAATTTCAAAATAAAATATTTTTTATTATTTCTTAGTGTAAAATGGCGTTCCAATCATGGCTGTCAAGTCATGACAACACTTGCTTGATATAAAAGCTTTTCAACTGCTTTGTACGTACGAAATAGTAGTGTTCATACACCTAGTTTACACGAACAAACAATTTTGCTTTTTTAGAATTAGCTTTTTTAGACGCTTTATCGCGACGAATTTGTTACAAAAAAATTGAATCACGGACGTGTTTTTGCGTATATCACAGAATGCGTAAAATATTGCTGAGGTAGTATATAAAACATTTTGATGTGAGACGCGCGACGCGGCCTCTAAGTGCGTCAGAATTCGAACTTTGCTTTAGGATCTCCTTAAAATATGAATTTTTGGGTAGAGAATTTTCGAGAAGAGAGTACGAACTTATTTAACTGCATAAACATATGCATACAAAAATTATTTAATTACATTTTACGTCGAATTTTTTAAGAGAAATGCTATTAGATAATTTTCTTAATGGATATACCCTAAGGCGTAAGAAATGTAACTAATCAGAATTCTTTATTTCGTAGTAGGAGAAAAAAGCAAAGGATTTTGATTGGTACATTGCCTTCTGCATCATATATTTGTGCTTCTCGTTTTACAGGTTTTCTACAATAAGTTATTATCTAAGTTTTAATTTAGAAGAAAGGAACCAATCACATTTGAATGTAAGAAGAATAATAGATTATGATTAGTCAATTTTTTATGGTTTAAGACTTAAAGCTTAGGTAATCACTTATTGTAGAAAGCCCGTTAGCCGACAGTGCTTTGTATAAAGCACAATGCATAGTGCATAAGAGAATCTATCATTCTAAATTTTTTTTTCTTTCATTTCTCAAAAAAGAAGAACTTTTAACGAATTCGATTGGACGCACTCAGTGCACACTGGTGCATATTAAAGCCGTCAAAAAGTAACGTCAAGGTATGTTTATACATTGACATAGAAATTGATTAAATCCTCAATATATTTGATTATACTATTACATAAAATGTGTATTTTATAATCCGAAATATTCGCATTTCACTTTTATAGTCAAATTGGTATTGTACTTTATGTTTGTATAAAGATTTTTTGAAATGAGACTTTTTCTTTAATCGAAGAAATTTGATTAATTTTATAAAATTTTTTTTTATTTGAGATATTTTTATAAAATTGAATTTATGATAATATATCAATAGAACTTTTTATAATAAGATTACAAAAAGTATATTAAAAAAGTTTGAAAGTTTTCTTCCAAAATTTTAAGACAACGTTGCTACTTTCTTTTTAAATTAATACATTACTATATTTTTAAATGTACGTCTGATACAAAATTAGAAGATTTTACGGCAGTAGTGTGTCAAGCGAACAATTAACAAACTTAATCTGTAGGAACTCTCGCCTTCAGATGACAATAATTTCGTCGACGCTCTTTGAAGATCGCAAAAGAAAGTTCTTATGATTTGAAACTTGAAACTGACCTTGACAAAGAACATCCATTGACCTGTTGTCCGGATCCTGTATCTTTCTTAAAAACAGTGCCGATAAGGATCTGGATCTTGTTTCAGGTCCACTGTCGCAAATTTCAGCGAATGCCGAATGGTCAATCATATATAGTCTTCACTATATCGTCGAAATCGTGTATACGAAGCAATAAATTTTATTGTTTTTAATGACCAAACGATTTTGAAGAGCGAAAGAATAACACTTGAGCAATGTTTATAGTAATACCGAGCATCGAACTTGCTGCAGACTTGACAATCTACACAATAAGATCGATTTTGTTGAAGTTTTAGAATAAAATTTGCGTGTTAGGAGATTCTCGCGTTTGATGAAATATAATACAAGCCTATAATATACATTTAATACAAATGTCAATATCAATAATATGTAGAAAAAAATCTCATTGACTTTTACC